AGAACTGTAGTTGAATGGTGGGCTGCAGCCATAAACTCCATGCCACCCACGGAAATAAATCTCTAAGCCCAGAGTTCAGTAATTGGAAAGAAAACCAAAGAGACATGAAAGAGAGAGAAGGGGCATTGTGCGAAGCAAAAAGGAAACTTGTGCTTTCAGGTGGGAAAAAGGGAGACACAAAGAAGGGGGAAAATAAAGAAACGGTCATATTAGTTAGCACTTCCCGACCATGGAGAAGGCAGCAAAAAGGCTGGTGTAGATTATAAAGATGATGTGGAAACCATTATTACCCCGGGCTGCACGCTCATTTTTTGAGATTGCTCTTTTGGAGAAGCAATTTTTGAGGTTTGTAACCACTGGTGCTGCTCTACTAGAAATAGAAATATTAGACGCAAATGACTACCAAAGCCGGGTGATTTCAACCCCAATTTCCCATCACTTCAATATTCTCCCTTTCCATTCACCAAAAAGTGATGGATCCAGGACATAGGGTGAGGCAAAGGTCTCATCAAAAAAGGTTACCACAGGAGACAAGAACAGTGCCCCCCAAAACCCAGTAACAACAAAATAATAGCTTCCACTCACAGAACCTCTCCTTATACACTTATTGCTGGTAGGTGCCATTGAGTCAGTTCCGACTCACAGCAACCCTATGTATAACAGAACGACACGTTCCTCGGTCTTACGCCATCCTCGCAACGCAGGTGTGTTGGAACTCAGTCATTGCGTCAATCCATCTCACTGAGGGTCTGTCTCTTACTCGCTGACCCTCTACTTCATTAAGCATGATGTCCTTCTCCAGGGATAACGTGTCCTGATAACATTTCCAAAGTAAATGAGATAAAGTCTTGCCATCTTCGCTTCTATGAAGCATTCTGGGCATACATCTCCCAAGACAAATTTGTTGGTTCTTCTGGCAGTCCATGGTATATTGAATATTCTTTGCCAACACCATAATTCAGATGTATCAACTCTTCTTCAATCTTCCTTATTCATTGTCCAGGTTTTGCCTGCATATGAGGTGATTGAAAATACCATGGCTTAGATTAGGCACATGTTAATAATCAAAGTGACATCTTTGCTTTTCAAAAATTTGAAGAGGTCTTTTGCAGCAGATTTGCCCAATGCAATTAACAAAAAAAAAAAAAAAAAAAAAGGAATTGCCTTCAAGTCGATTCCAACTCATAGCAACCCTATAGGACACAGTAGAACTGCCCCATAGAGTTTCCAAGGAGCAGCTGTGGATTTGAACTGCCTACCTTTTGGTTAGCAGCCAAGCTCTGAATCACCGGGCCATCAGGGCTTTGCCCAATAAAATACATTGTTTGATTTCTTGACTACTGCTCCCATGGGTGTAGATTGTGGATCCAAGTAGGAAGAAATCCTTGACAACTTCAATACGTTCACCATTTATCATAATGTTGCTCATTGGTCCAGTTGTGAGGATTTTTGTTTTCTTTATGTTGAAGTACAATCCACGCTAAAGGCTGTGGTCTTTGATGTAGTCTTTATTGATGACGTGAGTGCTCCAAGTCCTCTTCATTTTCAGCAAGCAAGGCTGTGTCATCTGCAGGTAGTTAATGAGTCTTCCTCCAATCCTGATGCCACATTCTTTTTCATATAGTCCAGCTCTCAGATTATTTGCTCGGCATACAGATTGAATAAGTTATGGTGAAAATATAAAACCCTCAGGCACACCTTTTCTCATTTTAAACCACAGAGTATCCCCTTGTTCTGTCTGAATGACTGCCTCTTGGTCTATGTACAGGTTCTGCACGAGCACAATTATGTGTTCTAGAATTCCTATTCTTTGCAATGTTATCCATAATTTGTTATGATCCACACAGTCAAATGCCTTTACATAGTCAATAAAACACAGGTAAACATCTTTCTGGTATTCTCTGCTTTCAGCTAAGATTCATCTGACATCAGCAATGATATCCTTCATTCCACGTCTTCTTCTGAATCCGGCTTGAATTTCTGGCAGTTCCCTGTTGGTGTACGGCTAGTCATTTTTGAAGTATCTTCGGCAAAATTTTTCTTGCATATGATATTAATGAATTTACTTATTACAGGATGCTAAAATTGAAGCTCAGGGCAAGGATTTTTTTTTTTTTTTTTTTTTTTAGCTAAGTCAGTAGTTTATTTGGAACAGCTCTTCTGAGTATAAGGGCTCTTGCATCAAGTGAATGAAGGCTCAAATGAGGGACAAAAAAAGGTACTTGTCAGTTTGAAAGTCACAGTTTATCTTTTCTATAATGAGATTAGGAGAAAAATGAAGAACCCACTGGGAGCAGGAAGAAGCAAGAGTCTTCTTAAGTCTGGCATTTGATGAAACAGATATTCAGTTACTGTGCATTTCCATTGTTTTTCCACAGCAGAGACCTGGGAACGCACATGCCTGAAGCCAGGTTACTCTTACGTTCCATAACTATGTTGCTTGCAGGGCTGTTGTTGCCACAGAAGTTGGCTGTGCCCCAGACAAATGGGGTGCTGGTCTGTACCCACAAATCTTTATCCCAGTCTTTTTCACAAGGAGGTGACTGCTATGGGCTCTCTGCCAGAGTCTCTTCTCCAAGGATCCTCGTTCAGTTGACAACATCCTGCTCGATATAACTTCGTCATCACAGCTTGAGATGTTGTGACTTATTTCAGCCCAAGGAACCTGGTGGCGAGCACTGAAGGGACAAGTGGCCAACTTGTTTGCAACATCAGGATGATTCTTTCTGTACTTGGTAAGATGATAAAGAAACCTGTCACAACTACTCCCGACAGCCACCGTCATTCATTCAGGAAGCCACAGACAGTTCATAACCCATGGACATGGTTGTGTCCCAATAAAACTTTATTTATAAAAATAGGGAGTGGGCTGGATATGGCCTGTGGGGCTGCTCTTTGCCAACTCCTGGTCTATACTCATGTTCTGGTCCCTGGCTCCTGGGAGGTAAACACCCATCACTTCGCTCCTCTGCTGGGGACTGGTGCCTGCCCATCAGGGGAGGGCTCGATGCTCTCCTTTCCAATCCACCCTCCTGAGGCATCAGGAAGCTTCACACCCCCTGTGAACCGAGTGATGCAGATTAAGCAGAGAGCAAATCTTGCAAAGACATTGAGTAGAGATCATCCAGCATCAGCCTGACCTGGGTTGACCTGGAAGAGCTTCTAGGGAAATGAATGCAGGACCATGTCCATGTATCCTGAAAGCCACATCCAGCCATCTCCACCCCTCCGCAGGGTCCTTTCCAACTGGGTGTGGCTCCCCGTAAAGCAAAATGCAGACTGCTGCTGAAGGGGACAACCTCCATAAGTCTAAGCTTCAAGAACCATATGACCTCACTACAATTGCCATTGAGTTGACCCTGACTCATGGTGACCCCTTATGTGTTAGACTACAACTGTGCCCCATAGGGTTGTCAATGGCTGGTTTTTCAGAAGCAGATTACCAGAACTTTCTTCTGAGGTGCCTCTGGGTGGACTCAAACCTCCAACCTTTTGGATAGTAGCTGAGCACGTTAACTGTTCGCACCACCCAGGGCCTCCACGATCCTGGTAGCTTGGATTAAACTATGAGATTTATTCATTCATTTAACAAATATTAACTGTTCCAGGCATTGTTCTTGGTGCTGGTACACAGATATGCACATAACCAACGCGGTCCCTGCCCTCACTGATGGCGGATTCTAGGCAGGAAGACAGATGATGAACCCTTAGTCTCGGACAGCGATAAGATCTCCGAAGAACATAAAACAGGGGAATGAGGTGGATAGAGTGACGGACCAGGAGGGAACAGAGGGCCCATTTCAGCCAAGTAGATCAGGGAAGTCCCCAGAACAGCTGAGCTAAATCCTGAATAAAGGAGAGGAGACAGATGTGAGAGATGTAGAGAAGTGAATTTCATGCAGAGAAGGGCCAGTACAAGGACCTGAATTGCAGACTTCATCATAGGGCATTGGGTTCTCGTTTACAAGGGTCTATACTCTGATGCCCAACCTGAGTGGTGGGTGATAAAAAAAACACCCACAGATTCTCCTAGGGTATCTTGGTGTGGACCCCACACTTCAGTCTCAGACCCCAAAAAAAACAAAACCCACTGCTGTCAAGTCAATACTGACTCATAGAAACCCTATAGGACAGAGTAGAAGTGCTCCGTAGAGTTTCCAAGGAGCGCCTGGTGGATTCAAACTGCCAACCTTTTGGTTAGCAGCTGTAGCTCTTTAACCACTACGCCACCAGGGTTTCCTTGGTCTCAGACAGGAAGATCAAACCAGAGCAGAACATATCTGCGCATTTCCTGGGTGTGACAAAGGGAATTAAGAATGTGGTATGCCCATGGGTTTGTAGACCTGTGACCCACCAGCACCTTCATTTTTAGGTTCTGGAACCTCATCTATGACCCTTTCTCAGGCATGGCCTGTGATCCTGGTCATGAACGGAGGTTTAGCCAAGCTTGGGAAAGAAATCAGATCACCTCCAGGCCAATGGGACAGAAGCACAAGGCCGTGTACAGACTCTTGGGATGCTATCCAGATTCAGTTGCCGGCTCCAAACAAGGCTCTCTCCTTGCGTCTGCATTCCAGAGTCTGCTATCTCCAAGCTACCTGGGGACCTCAAGGCAAAGCTGATTGACCAAGGATTCATTACCCAGGTCATAGAGCGGCTGTTCCCGCCACCTACCCCAGATACACCTCACTCTGTGCAGGCTTTCCTCCCAATATGCATGTAGATTATGGTGATAAAGAACAAGGGCTCCCTGGGACACAGTTCAGCAATATCCACAAATGAAAAGGGATTCACACAGTAGACCCTAAGTAGTTCCCAAGGAGCCATTATGGATAGCAGAGACATAAAATGCAATGTAAGTGTATTTTCCTTGTGTTGAACAATGTGTACCAGATACATGGGAAATATCAGATTATAAAATGCTCTATTTTTTTGTGCATATTAAGAGTGTGTAAAGGCAACTTCTTGGCAACACTCTTTGTGAAGTCCCAACTTCTTACCATTGCGAGAGGGACGATACCCACAAAGGTGGTCTGGCTGATGAAGATTTCAGAGACAACCAGCTCACTCGTGGAGTCCTCCACCGGGTACTCCACCTGCCAGGTGATCTGCTGGGCCCCGGCCAGGCCACTGCTGTTGTCGACTCCAAAGTCCACTTGCAAGATCTCATAGAAGGAGCCATTGGCCCTGGAAAACAAACACACATTAAAGTGCAATTTAAAACCCAAGGCTCAGCAGAATGTCAAGACTGCGATCAATTGTCACTTTCCTCTTTGTCAACCAGAAGAATTACTGCTGAGTTCAACAAGGCACACAGCAGCGTCGATGAAGCCTCATTCACAGCTGCCCACCACAGACTGCAGATCAGAATGGGCTGGTGGGCCATCTCCAGGGCTCTGTGACAGCAGACTGCTCTCCATGGAACGAGGCAGAATCTATCTCTGTGCCCACCATGCACAGCTCCCCACTCCCAGCCCACAAGTACACATGCCACAGTCCAAGGCCCCCATCCTGGGAACGCCCCCAAACCATCCCACCTGCTTCACCGTGACTCCAGTCCTGAGGATTTCGGCCATTTCTACGTCTACTTAGCTGAGTGTCTACAGACCAGTGGTTCATACTGAGCTTTAGAATTTGGGGAGAAAAGCAGAGACTTCCTGGGCTTGTGGGAGCACATGGGACGGAGAACGGGAGGGGGCTTCAGGAGCCGCCCCGAGCAACATAATGAGGTGTTAGCGTTGACTTCCATTTCAGCAGCGTGAATCGAAGAAAACTCCACCCGTGTGAATTCATGGAGTGACGAGGCTGAGTGTGTGCTTGGGGAAGGTAAGTGGGTCACAAATAAGTGAAAAAGTGCAACCGTCAGTATTTTCGTATATGGGGAGGCTCTCGCTGTTGCGATGGATTTGTACATTGTGGGCTGACTACTGTGTTGACAGAGGAAGTTACGGCACAGAGAGCTTAAAAATCATCCAGCACTGATTTGGGAATGACTCCAGCTCTGTAAGCCTGTCTGCATGACCCCGAGTCCAGCTGTCCCCGGATCCGAGGAATGTGTCAGAGGAGTCAGAGTCACAAGCTCCTCGAGACCTGAGTCACATGGCCCAGCCTGTCCTTTTGTGGCCAGTGGGCCTGCCTGGATCAAGATGGGGTGGAGAGCCTGTCCCTGCCTCCCTGGAGCCTAGGCACAGTTTGCAATCAGACCCCAACATGCAGCGTCTGAGGAAAAAGTTCTGAAGCAGAAGTCACTGCCTGCTGGTTGTCCAACAGAATTCTCCTACCATGGACAGCTCCCTTCTACTGTCCTTAAGTCTTCTCTGAGAACAGGGGCAGAGCTCTGGTGGCGCAGTGGTTAAGAGCTAGGCTGCCCACCAAAAGGTCAGCAGTTCAAATCCACCAGCTGCTCCTTGGAAGCCCTACGGGGCAGTTCTACTCTGTCCTATAGGGTCGCTATGAGTTGGAATCGACTTGATGGCAATGGATTTGGATTTGGAAGAACAGGAGCAGGAGCCCTAGCGGCGCAAATGGTTAAGCGCTAAGCAGCGAACCAAAAGGTCCGCGGTGTGAACCCACCAGCCAGCGGCTCCCCAGGAGAAAGACCTGGCGATATGTTCCCATAAAGATTACAGGTTAGGCAACCCTATGGGGCAGTTCCACTCAGTCATATAGGGTCGCTGTGAGTTGAAATTAACTCAATGGGGCCCAATAAGAACAAGGGGGAAACCCACAACTGGATCCTTATATATGTCAAAGGCAGCACTCAGCTGCAGCAATGGGATTGACAAAACTGAGCTGCATGGACCTGCCTGACATGAAACTCTACCCAAAATAGAACTACGTTTGACTCCTTATAGAACTGCTCATCGGTCATATCCAACATTCTTCCCACTTAGCAGAGGTGTGAAGAAACTCTCAGATACTGCACCGTCCCATAAGGCAGCCACTAGCCATATGTGGCCCTTTAAATTGAAATGTAAATTTACTAGAATTAAATAAAATTAAAAATTCCATTCCTCAGTCACACTAGCCTCATTTCAAGCGCTCAGTATCCACATGTGGCCAGTGGCTACCATATTGGATGGCACAGATAGTGACCTGCTGACTTGCTTCATCCCTGGGCAAGTCATTCCAGCCCTTCCAGCCTCCGTGTCCTTACCTGAGAAAGGGAAATAACGATAATGCTCGGTGCTCATCCGTGGAATGATGAGGCTGGACTGTGACTGTGGATGTGCTTCACACACTGCCCAGTACCGCACACACATACTCTGAGCACAGCAGAATCACCAGACGCATGGCTCTGGAAGAGTCCAGGGACTCCATGGGCAAACCACCAGGTGGTCCTGGCTGAGCCTCGGCAGCGTGTGGGCACGTGGGAGCTGTGAATCCTCAGGGGTCTCTCTGTACAAGTTGTCACTCATGAGGCAGTGTGTGCTGACTCTGGGTCCCTGGCACCATGAAAGGACTAGGGGTGGGCACGTATGAGACCTCCCCTCACCAAAAAAACAGCTGCCGTGGAGTCGATTCCAACTCATGAAAACCCCATGGGTGTCAGAGTAAAACCACGCTCTGCAGGGTTTCAATGGCATTGACTTTTCAAAACTGGATTGCCAGGTCTTTCTTCCAAGGCACCTCTAGGTGGACTTGAGCCACCAATCTTTCCGTTAGCAGCTGAGTGCTTAACAGTTTGCACTATCCCGGGATTCCCCCTGCTCACCAGGGGACTCCTGTTTCCTGGGGCATCTTTAGTGAAAAGACAGAGAAAAGAGATATTGAGGGCTGAATTTTGAGCTGCCGGAGGGAGTTCAGGAACTTCGTTTTTAGCTTCAGTCACCCATTTCCCAGCCCCACACTCCAGTCTGCAGCCTCCTCCTGGTCAGGAGCATCCACGTGTCCGTCTGTAAGTCTCCTCCCACCGAGACGCTCCCAGCTGTCGGCTCACATCTCCTCTTTGGGCTGCACTGTGCTCCGTTACCAGGACAAAGTTGCTCCTTCTAACACCCGCTGGGCCCTCAGTAAGACCTGCAGAGGCTCACACCGACAAAGTGAAAATCCAGTCCAAGAAGAAACGGAGCATGACGCTGTTATCTATCGGCCGTTTCATCCTGCTAAGCCCACACTTGGGTCCGGGGGTGACAAGAAGGGGCCAGTCTTTGGTCAAAGGTGGTGGAGTCTGTGTGAAAGGGTCTACGGGCTCCCCTCCGCTCTGTGACTCCCCAGCCTGTGAGCTCACTGTCCACAGGAAACCCACAACTACTGGTGGAAGGACCATAAAGTCAGTCACCTCCGTGCATCAGTGTTTTCAGAAACACATTTCCCTCAAGCCGGAGGAAGGAGGTCTTATACTTCCAGGCAGCTGGCAAGCTTGCTAATAAGCCCATTTCTATGGAAATGGGTTCATAACTATTAATTTTGCCTGCTCCTGATCTATTCTTGATAAGCTTTTCAGATTTAGAAAAGTGCTCCATGACGCTCTCGGTTTAATAACTACCAGCTGCCTTTGAGGAATCGGGATCGCTGTTTCAGCCACGAGATATTCACGAGACATTTTCTGTGGGGTAGAGGTGTATGTGTGTGAGTGTGAGTGTGTGTGTGAGAGAGAGCAGGTGTGAGTGCGTGAATGTCAGTGTGTGTGAATGGGTGTGAGTATGAGTGTGTGGGGGAGTGAGAGCGTGTAGGAGCGTGTGTGTATTGTGAGTGTATGTGCAGATGTGAATATGTGTGGAGTGTGTGTGTGTGTGTGTGCATGAGTGTGTGTGTGCACGAGTGTGGAGTGTGTGTGTATGTGTGGAGTATGTGTGTGTGTGCATGAGTGTGTGTGCACGAGTGAGTGTGGAGTGTGTGTATATGTGTGGAGTATGTGTGTGTGTGCATGAGTGTGTGTGCACGAGTGAGCGTGGAGTGTGTGTATGTGTGTGTGTGTGTGTGCATGAGTGTGTGTGCACGAGTGAGTGTGGAGTGTGTGTATGTGTGTGTGTGTGTGCATGAGTATGTGCATAAGTGTGTGTGCAGTGCGTGTGTATAGAGGGAGGGATGAGACATGAAGTGGCCACACCAAGCGGCTGTTTCTCCCCTCAAGCTGGAGCACACAGCCTCCTTCCAAAATGACCTGCTTCCCAGAAACCCTGTTTCCCGTGAAAATCTCACCTTTGAGAAAAGCTGAGCCTCCTTCCCTGGCCCCCTGGCCCCTTCCCCTCGGGAGGTGGGGCTGAGACAACCTGTCTGCCCCATGTGGCTGATGCTCAGACAGTCCACAAGAAGGAGAAGCAGCAGGGAGAGGGCTGGTGGCCAACCCTCGTTCCGGGGACTAGATGAGGCATTTCTTAGCACATGGCTGGCAGTGACAGTAATGGTTGTTTTGTGGGGGGATGGAGAGAGAGCCTAAAGCTTCCCCTGTCCTTCAGCAATTTGCATCACTTGCAAGATTACTTTTCTCCCCATGAACTTCTAGATGGTCCTGAGCTACCAGGCTGAGACGGTGACGCTCTCCCCACAGAGGTTTTCCTGGAAATGGGGCAAGAGGGGCTGCCCCTGGTCTCCGGGCCTCGGTTTTTTCTTAAGCGCCTTTTTCCCAGGCATTAACTTAAAAGATGACCGAAAAGCACGGTAAATACGGAACGATGCCGACGCCAGACACATGCCCTCAGAGCAGGATTTGCTGACAACTCACAGCAAACACACTCTGAGACTGAACTTCTGACTCCCCCTCCAGATGACTAACTCCCCGAGGACAAAGACGTCTGGATTGTTCCCTGCTCTGTCTGTAGCAGCTGGCATGGGGCCGGACAAATTGTAGGAATTCAACCAGTATTTGTTTAACTCATTGAACATACTCAAAAGACCCAGCAGGGCACCCTGTGAAATTCTAAAGGGTGTCATTTGCATTCTGGGAGACAAGGAGCTACCATTCCTGGGTCTTGAGCCATATTCTCATGCCTGCTGGTAAGTATACGGACACACTCTTTGCTTCCAGAAGACACATCTGTCTCCACAACTAGTTCTTCAAAGGTAGAACCTGTGACGACACCATAGTCACTCCGAGAACTTACTACATTTATCTCACTACAGTGCTTCGCAGTAGAGTAACTTTCCCAGTAACATTTACCAAGCACCTACTATGGCAGGGGAGCAGTGGTCATTCAGTGGTAGAATTCTCTCCTTCCTTGCAGGAGACCCAGGCTCAATTCCCA